ACTACTAATTATTTTAATTAACTATTTATAAAAATACTTTATTTTCTAAATTGTAACACTTATCTGTAATAGCAGGTTACAACCTTTGAAGAAATAATACCCTCTTGAACACGTCGATAGTTCCCTGAACATCTCCACCAATAGCATAGGAACAAGGGTGACCCGTAGATTTCCTTGGAATGTAGCTAAGACCAGGATTAGTATGTTGATATTGATCTGCCCCTTCCTTGTGCGAAAATAGAAGTCCTAACAATGCTAAAGAAAAGGTCAGGGGGTGGAAGGCTCTCCATGCTGCCTTGTGACACTAAAATTCCTCAAGATGCCAATCGTAGCTTTCTCAATGTCCAAATCTATCAATCAATTGATCCAGGCTTACCCATATGTCCTCAACACTTCTCAAATTCTTATTACTCTTCATTCCTAGTGCGTAGAGAAACCTTTGTCCCGGCATGATGACCGATAGTATAGGCTTCCGTCAGATGAATGGCAACTCAATGAAACTGGTAACTTCCTCAAGTGTTGGTGTCAGCTCGCAGTCAACAAACTTGAAAACCGCCTTGGATGGATCCTAGAACTCTATCAATAACCTAGTGAGTACCCTATCAGCTCGGATGTTCATCAGTGCAGTTAGTGCTCCTCGATGCATCCTCATTTCATATCCATGTTCTCGTCAGATATTCCTCCACGATTGTTTAAATTTGTGAGGTGCTCCCATGACCATGCTAATTTCCTGGACGTTGCGGTTGATTTCCATCTAAAAAGGGTGAAGGGTTTGGTAAGTATTTTACTCTGAATCCTTAGTGTCTTATCTGGATTGATTTATCATTCCACAGAAGGCACGTCATTATGTGAATGACCTGTTGACATTAGGGTTTCTTCCCTAATTGTGAGTCAATATTAAGGATCGACCCATCTAAAGTTTATGCAACATGACCAATGATTGCTAAGAGTAGAGTGTTTCCTAAATTTGGAGTTGGACTGAATAACAACGAGACAATATGTCAGTTGACCTAACAAGGTCGTTCTCTGAAACTAGAGAGTTTTGAAAAGAATGTTCGAGGGGTGAAGAGACAGCCCTCGGATGACATTATGTGTGATTTTGTACGGCCAAGACTTGATAGAAAAATATGATGACAGTGTATAAAGCAGTAACAAGTAATTGTGGTGACTCAGCGATAATATTAAGAACAAAATGATAAAGACACATTAGTAGGTTATAAAGTCATGTAAAGTATAATCAAGTAAGATAAAGCAAGTAAACACCTATTGGAAAATTAAACACACAATAAATTAGAATATAAACAAACATCTCTAAGTTCAAAGTCTAGCTTAAGTCCGCTAAGGTGAGAACCTAAGTGTAAATCCCCAGCATAGTCTCCATGTTTTGCACCCAATTTTGCATAGGTCAAAACAAAATACAACTAGTGGTTCCTCTGAATTTGATAAAAAGAATCGCCACCTAATATTTAAGGTATACTAGGGTACCTATAAGTCTGTAAAAAAAATTGTCCTAATGGTCTACTAACCAGTAAGATTTGAGTAAGGGTTCTAGTTATTCTAAGGGGAAGGTGTTAGGCATCCCTTAAAATCTACCTAAGGTAGCTCCTTAAACTTACGCTAGGTTCGGGGAAAGAAATATCTATCCTAGTTGATTATTGGTTATAAATTGCTATGCGGGATTTTGTAAAAAGCGAGAGAAATGTTTTAAGTCTTGATTGAAAATCTATCTCTTATTTTGAGAAAAATATGTATATCTCCTTTGTAATGGTAGAACTCATTTTGATAACCTTTGTAATACACTTTGTAAAATGGATGATTATTCAAAAATATTTTGTTTAAATGGAAAAATGGGTATACCTTGTTTATTCATTGAAAATTTGTACTAGTAGAACCCCCTTGCGTTTTTCAAAATCATTGATCTGTTTTCTTTTGAAGCTATTTCTACACGATTGCTTTTGTGTTAAAATAGTTTGTTTGCCTAGAGACCTTTTAGAGGATATTTCTATTTAGACTTGAATTCGATTTCTTTTAACATTCATCCGAGTCCTATTGATGCCTATAACCAAAAAAAAAAAAACTCATTAAAGGATAAAGGAAAGATTAGTTGCCACAAACAGTTAACTTCAAGAGTATTCAGATTTTTAAAAAAAGCGTCAAGGTTATTTTAAAATGATTAATCTTTATAATCATAATTATCCTTTTACCCACTAAACTTTGACTTTCCCTACGGTCTACCTAATCAATCAAAACAACCACAAATAGCCAATAACAATGTCAGTTATCTAAACACATATATGTAGAAAATGGAATGATAATATAAACACATATTTAGGCAAAGTGAGGATAGTTGGACTCTTTCATGTTGGGCTGGAAGGGCAGCCAGGCCCAGGTTGATTCTAACAGCGGCAAACTCCATGTAATGACCCATTTTTCCTTATAGGCCGTGATGGAGCCCAACGTCACCGTTAGACAAGCCAACAATGAACTAGTCATATATTTATTCTTTTTAATAATTTTAAAATAGTTAATTTTTATTTATTAAGTAAATGAGAGGTGGATAATTATAGTAAAGCAAAGCGTGAACCAATGAAAGAGCAAGATACGGTGAAATAAATACCCAAAACCATAAAGTGTCTACTAGCATATTCCCAAGACCCGGTGTCACAAGTATATGAGCAACTAGTAGAATATACAAAATATCTATACTACTCTCTGAAATAAGATAGATGAAAAGTAAATATCAAAGAGAGACTGCGGGTGCTACAGAACGGACTCAAAGAGCAGCTCACCACTATGCCACAGGGTGTTAGGGGTGCGTCCCTGAATGAATGCCAGATGCACCTGTCTCAGATCCTGCATGATTAGTACAAAAGTGTAGCGTGAGTACATAAACAACATGTACCCAGTAAGTATCCAGTCTAACCTCAAAGAAGTAGTGACGAGGAGTCGACATCGACACTTACTACGTGCTAGTAATAAAAACACAGAAATTCTAAATAAGCATGGAATACATGAATAATAATAATAATAACACAATAACCAGCAATGAGTAAATGGTTCTTTAACTGATAGCCAAATTAAAAATCTCCAATTGATACTGCTAACTTCAACAATTTCAGGCTATTAAATAAATTATAACCTTTTAACTCATAAAAATAATATCAAGTGTATTCGGGCTCCCAGCATTATCATGCACGATTTATGCCGAGGTCGTATGGACCGATCCAAAATACTGTGTGCACTACCGAGGGTCTAACGATACGAATCATAGATGCATCTACTATACTACCGAGGCGAATGACCTGCTCCCATAAGAGTAGTGTTATCGCACTGCCGAGGCGAATGACCCGATCCCATAAGAGTATAGAAGTTTACCTCTCTCGCGAAAGTACTTGCGATGCGAGAGGACATGGATTTCTTAGAGTTATTAAGTATTCCTCAATTCATCGAAAAATAAGAAATCTAAGTCGAACATTGCAACTTTTATAATCCCTAGTCTCATCTCTATTCAAGACAATTGATATGCATAATAAACTCAATAGTACAATTAAAGGCATGATGTGGACCTAAGTATACCCGGACACCTCCTGGAATATAGCTACACATGGAATCTTGTCACCTAGTGCGTACGTCGCTTCTCACATAAGTAATACACAACAAGATACACCTAAGGGGATGAGTTCCCTCTTACAAGGTTAGGCAAGAGACTAACCTCGATCTTAAGCTCACTTTCGGTTCACAAATCAACTCTAAAGCCTCAACTTGGTGCCCAACAATCCGAAACTAGCCAAATATTATATATATATATTAATCAATATACATTCACAAGTTCATAATTTAGCTATTAGAGAAATTACCCAACCCAAATTGGAAGATTCCTAAAATTCACCCCAGGCCCACATGCCCGGATTCTGAAAATTTTTAAAGATAAATATTACCCATAATCTCACGAACTCAAATACATAATTTCTACCCAATTCCATAATCATTTCATGGCTAAATCCCATTTTTATCAAAACCTAGGTTATTCAACAATCTCCTAAAATTTTCACATTTTGCATGTTAAAATCTACAAATAATCTATGTATTAAACTTACATTGGGTAGGAATTACTTACCTTCAATAGTTAGGTGATAACCCCTCTCCAAGAAGCTCCAAAATCATCCAAAAAAATAAAAAATAAGAGAAAATGGCCTAAGTCCCGTTTTTTAAAATATTCTGCCCAGGTTTGTGCCTTCATTGCGATCGCGGACAAGCCCTCGTGATCGGGAAGGCAAACCTGACGAACCTAGAAATTTTTCCCTTCGCGATCGCGAGAGGACACCCACGAACACGATGCACTGGGCTATCTTCTCATCGCGAATATGTGCCCTCTCTCGTGAACGCATAAGGCAACTGGGTTGCCCAATCCCAGGTCCTTGACTCTACGTGAACGTGATAGGTCTCCCTCGAATGCGAAGGCCGCTAGCCCCAAGCCTTCGCGAACGCGAAGCACAAAACCACCGAGTCCCCCAATTCCTTCTTCGCGATCGCATGGTTTCCTTCGCATTCGCGAAGAAGGAAACTAGAACAACTTATTTTTTACTTATATCCGAGCGGTCCAAAATGTACCCGAGTCCCCCCTCCCTCGGGGACCCCATCCAAAAGAATCAACAAGTCTAAAACCATAATACGGACTTGCTCAAACTCTCGAAACACGAAATATAATATTAAAACTAAGAATTGTACCCCAAAATCAAATTGAATCAAATTATGAACTGCAAGTTTTCAACTTGCCCCGAACGCGCTGAATCACACTTAGACTACTCGTAATGACATAAAATTTTGTGTACAAGTCTTAGATCACAATACGGAACTATTCGCTGGGCTCAAAATCCCTAACGGACCTCGATAACAACAAAACATACTCCAAACCAAACTTAAAGAACTTGAAAACCTTCAATGCGCCAAACATTTAATATTAAGCGCCGAAATGCTCCCAGGTCATCCGAAACCCAATCTGAATATATGCCTAAGTCCAAAATCATCATACACACGTATTGGGAATGTCAAATCTCGGTTCTGAGGTCTTTTACATAAAATGTTGACTCAAGTCAAAATTAACCCCTTTTAAGCAATTATTAAGGAACTAAGTATTTCGATTTCAATCCGAACCCTTCCAAACCCAAACTAACCATCCCCGCAAGTCATAAAATAGTAAAAGAACATATGGAGAGTTTTAATTAGGGGAACGGAGATCTAGAAAGTAAAATGACTGATCGGGTCGTTACACTCCAATAGGTGAGGAAGCATCCCAATTTCCCTGAGCTTGGGCCTGAGTTCCAAATGAACTCAGCAGGCCAAACAATCATGCATAGAAAAATAAAAAGAAGATAATTAGCATATGTTAATATAAAGATGAAGTAAGATAAAATTATAATAATTAATAACAAAAAAATCTAAAGAATACAGTAAATTCAATTTTCATCTGTGTTAACCCTATGAAGATTAATTAAGGTTAGTGACTAAGGGCTTAGGGTGAACCATGTTTATTTATGAAGTCCCCCAATGGACCACTGACACTTCAAAGTTCACGAGGGTCTAATGAACCCCGAGCAGTACTTGTGCCAGGAAAGTGTACCTCAACCACAAAACCAGGCTCACACCCAAATACCCTTGAACATTGACCCTCGTTCTTCCTCAAAGGTTTGAGCACAAACAAATGTTAACTCGGCAGTTTCACTTAGTTAGCATGACAGAGATAAGTACAGAAGGTTCATCATAAACCCTTTCAATGATTTAGCCAAACAAAGGTACCAAATAGTCATATTAAGCATTGCAACCATCATTAGAGTACAAGAGCATAAGCAGCTAATGACTAACACAGTATTGACCTTAAGACTTCTCATCAAAAACACAAAATATAAAGACTAGTTACTACATGTGGACTTTTAGAGTTCCAATATCATTAAAGGCCCTGAGGTTGATGCTAAAGTATCACAACATGTACAAACCACTTGTGAGAATCACTACTAGGACACAATCAAACAAGGGTCACATAGCACATGTAGTTTGTTACATGCTGCTAGTAAACATACTCTATCACTTACAATTTCAAGCTCAGGAGTGCCACATTAAGTAGTCTAAGGCATCAGTAGTGGACAAAGATAAACATATACATTTATTTTATTATCTTCATTGAAGGTCTAAACACTTTTGAACTTCCCTTAAGTAGGTTTACATCACTAGAACATGTTACGTACATCATAACAGTTTCAACATAACTTTCCAAAGCAAGTAGGCATATATCTAAGAATTCCCTATATTGAAAACTTATGGCAGTATTCAGAGTTCCCAAAGGGCATACCAATCAACTAGATCAATGGGTAATTAACTTGAATAGGAAGGCTAATTCTAGTTTTTACCTAAACCTAATGATCATGGTATCTAATCATGACAATGCACAGTCAATCAGACTTTTAAATTATCGTAACGAACTATACTCAGATTCATGAGTGAGGGCCCTCTAAACAGTGTTGTCAAATAGTCATGGAATAACAAGTAGAGGCATTCATTCTGCAGCTGACCAGGACATGACAAACAAGATATAGAAAGTTTATATTGAGACATGTAAGCATATTTATTAATAATTCATTCCAAAAAAGTTCACTACACGATTCCTGTTATTTCAAATTATCATAATAGACACATGAATCGTTTTATCCTAAATGTGTAGAACATCACAGTATCACACTCAAGCATTTAACTAGAATCACATAGCTAAGTAAATAATGTCATAAACAAGCTGTCAATTAGAGTCACATAGCTAAGTAAACATATTAACATGATAACATGAACGAAACCAGTAATGAGGATCAGTCATTGAACTAAACCAGTACAACATACATCATAGGCATGAGGATCAAGATAGCATAATTCTTCAGCTATAAAGATTTTAACAAGTTAAATAGGATATCAAGAAAAATTAAGGAATATGGTTCAATCAACTTAGTCAACATGATAGTATGAATATGGTTATTACTCAATCAACAGGGATAGACCACATGTAGTATATAACATAGAGTAAAATTAAACTTAGCATGAAGGCTCAACAAGATTACCGATGAGGATGACAACAATGTAGAATCATTTTAGCTAACTAAGTTATGAGAAACAAATTTCATCAACCATCATAGATTTAACAACAACACAGAGATAATCATCAGGAAAGCATCATTAATTTTAAAACAAGGATAACACAAATACAAAATACAATAAAAGACTCACATGTTACTGATGAATATCATGAACAACATGCAATTAATAGGTGGACATCATAAGCAGAGAGCCACATATGCAATTGAGGAATGAAAGTGGGAGGTCAGTGTTCACTGACCTTCTTTGGAGAAACAAACCAAGTAAGGATGATATGTGTTCATTTAAGAACCCAACCTCACAATCAACTTACAGTAATCGAACTCGAGCATGAATGAAAGAAAAGAAAAGAGAAATTCGAGAAGCACTTCAGAATACTTAAGCCAAAAGAAATTTCTCAGACTTTAATGTGTGTTTGTGTGTTTTTTTAATATTTTTCCTTTGTGTTTGGTGAGAGAGTTAGAAGCTCTATTTATAGTAGCATTGAAGACTTAGGGCTTCATTTGAATTCACAGATAGTGAAAAGTATGGATTGAAGGCAGATGAAAGCAAAAAAAGTAAAAGTAGAGGAAATCAGAGGGAAAGTAGAGTCGATATTTTTACCTTGGCACCAATATGGTGGAAAAGGTCGACAGTTGAAGAGAAAAGAGCCATTGGTTAAAGCCCATGTCCATAGCTCAGTCCGTTTGACATCTAGACAAAGAATCATGACAATGAGGTCAAGATTCATATCATACATGTATTGATTTGAAAGAACGGGGGGAGGGGGGGGGATGATAAGATTCTTGTTCGCATCATTTGTTCTGGGGATTTGGGGATTTGGGATTCAAATCTTGGTGATGAAAAGGGAAAAACCTGGTGGGATTTTTGGTTGAAAGAGACAGGATAGATGTCTGGTTTTGATTTCTAGTGACCTTGCACGAATTTGTGCAAGGTTTTAGGAATGATAAGGGTCAGTGAGATAAGAGAACATGGAGAGGAAACAGAAAGAGAGGTGGTCGCTACCGTGGGAAATGATTAAGGTTTGGGGTGGGGTGGATAGTTAAGATGAGAGACGGGAGGGAGTCGTTGGATCATTTTGATCAACGACTCCAGCTTTTCTGAGATTTAAAATGGATAAAACATTTAATACGAGGGTTGTTGGATCCTTTTTATCCAACGCTTGAGATGAAACCTTGAATGATTTTAAATAAAAGGAAAAGTTAGGATTAATTGTTGACCGTTGATGGCTTTAATCAACAGTCCAGATTATTTGTGTTAGTTGTGTGAGTATTTGGAGAGAGGTGACGTAGCCTACAAAGATTGGTTGAAAGGGAGTGGCACATATTGCCAACTAGGATGGAGGGCTTTCCAAACTGGTTCATGAAGCATTGGGCTTGTATTTTCGGCCGAATTAAGCTGGATAGGATTGAAATTATATCCACATTGATTTAAAATCATTGAAATTACAATCTATTTTAACTTCTAACCCATTTTATAATTAAATTAATCTCAATGAAATGTAATAAAATATATTTATCAAAATTAATGTAATTAGCTAGTTTTAAATAATTAAAATATAGTATTTTTGATTAAATTATAAAAACTAATTGTTTGGTTAATTTAAGTATTAAAGGTAATATAATTATGATTTAATACTAAATTATTAAAATATTTGTAATACTTGTCTGCAGAATTATGAAAGTTGGTTTAACTACAGAATTATAAACATTTAAGACTAAATTATTGTATATTATATAATTGATATTGCTAACTATTATTATACTTATTATATCATTTATATTTTGAGAAAATAGGTATTATTAATTTTAAAAATACTCCACTATATTTATTGCTGATTAATAAGTGTAAAATATTTAATTTAAAAGCGATAGTCAAAATTGGTTGTCAACGAGTTATTCGATGGTTCCAATAGGTTCGTATCGTGATTTGGCATTAGGCGTATGTTCAGATTTGGATTTAGAGGTTCTTAGAATGATTTGGCTCTAATGGGAAGTTAATAGGTTCGACCGGGAGATGATTTTGATATTATCGTATTCCGATAAGTGTTCTGCGGATTTGGATAGGTTTATTTAGTTGATTGGAACTTGTGTGCGAAGTTTGGATGGAACTGGAATGTTTAGGCATGATACATACGTGTTTGCTGAAGTTGGAAATTTGGTAGTTAAGAGATAGATTTTTATCGTTGATTTTTTGTTTTGATGTTAATTGTGGCGTTTAGAGCATTTGCATTTGAATAACGTATTAGGACTTGTTGGCATGATTGGACGGGGTCCCGGGGGGATCGTATATGTTTCAAAAGTATTTCGGAGCATTTTTGGTGCCATTTAGAAGTTCTGGTGCATCGCACCTGCGAAAGTTTGGGCGTAGGTGCGACTGGTGTGTCGCATTTGCGGTGTTGAGCTGGTCTGGGGAATTGTCGCAGATGCAAAAAAGGGAGAGAAGGTGTGAAGATCGCACATGCGGTTGGTGGAGGCGCGCCTGCGAGGCCAGTTAGTCCTTTGGAGGATTGCTTCTGTGGAGAGGGGGATCGCAGGTGCGAATGCGTACCTACGTGGATTGGGCGCACGTCTACGAGTAAGTAATTTTCACTTGGATTTGATTATATATCTTGAATCCTCATGGTTTTATATTCTTTAATACTGAGATTTTTAAGAGAAAATTGGGGTTTTTCTTGATAACTAAAAAGTGGGAATTTTTGCGATTTAAGGGTCGATTTGGACTCAGTTATGGAATCTAATTACGTATTTTGGACTCGTAGAGTTATGGATAGTTGAGATCTACCCCTTGAATCGTATTTTAACCATGCAGGTCAGGTTAATGTTTGTTGACTTTTGGAGATTTGAGTAAAGATTGAAACTTTATTGCTTGGAGTTGATTTGTATAGTATTTGGCGTTATTGAGTTGTATTTGACTAGATTCGAGGAGTTTGGAAGTTGACTTGAAAGGAAAAGCTGTGTTAGGAGGTTGAAGTTATTACCGGGTGGAGGTAAGTCTCTTGTCTATCCTTGAAAGATGGATTTCTCTCCATAGGCTATTTATGTGCTATTTGCGACTTGATTTAGGTGCTTCGTATATGCGAGATGATGAGCATATATGCGTGGCTAGGTTTTGACCATAGCCGGTTAGATTTAGGCAATACTATGCCTTGTTGAGACTTTATGAATTGTTTTCCATAATTTATTAATTCTTTGACTACGTGATGAATCTTAAACCATACTTTGAGATTGTGATAGAATTATGACTTTGATTTGAACTTGATGGACTTCTTTCACCATGTTAGGCTTTCTACTATAGCCATATCCATCTAATTGCCTTATTTGACTTACGATCTGGTGACTATTGGCTCTTGTTTCTCATATTTGATATCATACTCAAACTTTAGAAAAAAATAGAACATGTTGAACTTTTATGGAAAGTTAATTATATAATTAGCCATAGCTATCTCATATTCATGGTAATACTTATATGCATTTTGTTATTATGTCCTGGTGTGCCTTTATCACATCATCTCATATACATATACATGAGCTAGAGAGTTGGATATTGAGAATACTTTAGGATTTGGCACAAAGGACAATATGAGCGAATATTGATTATGGACTTTAATATTATTAATAGATCGGGTTGCACGCTGCAACAACGCGTGGATATGGATTTTAGAATCAGGTGATTACCCATGTTACTTTGTGCCCTATGAGCACAAGCACCCAGATTGGATATAGTTTGGACACTTGGCCAGTGTCGACCATTTGGTTTGGTACTGTGAGGTGTTGAGTTAGATCATGATCATGCATATGCATCAAAAATTTATTCCTTAACCCTCATTTATACACATCGTTAAGTTTTATCCTTATTTTGAAAGTAATTGAGATACGTGACTCTATATTGTGGTTCTTTGCATGAAAAACATGCTTAAATATCAATTATTACTATAACTTAACCTTTGTATCCATTTGATGATGTCATGTCTTAATTATTGTTTATTTTAATGCTTTCACTTGTTTATTATACTTCTATTAAGTGTCAGTGTCGATCGCTCATCACCACTTCGTCGGGGCTAGAGTTGATACTTACTGAGTACTGTGATTTTGTACTCATACTATACTTTTGCACACTTTTGTGAAGATTCTGAGGCCGGTACTAGTGGTACCCATTTAGCTGCTTAGTGACTTTCATTTGGAGACTTCGTGGTGAGCTGCTTGCTTATTCTATCTGTAGCACATGGAGTCCCCTTCCTTGATTATCTATTTTTGTCTTTTGTTTCTTTCATATAGATATTTTATATTGTTAGACATAATTTACTCTTAATATTTGATGCTCGTGATAGTTGTGACATCGGTGTTTGGGCATTGCTAGACAGTTGTGGTCGTGTATAGACCCTTTCTCCGATATTTGTATCTATATGTTGGTTTTGAAACTATTTCCCCTTTTATATTTATGTCACATCTTATTAGATAATTTAATCATTGGCTTCTATTGTTGTTATTGTGTGTTTTGATTTCCTAGCAAGAAGGTTAAGTGCCATCACGACCTTTCATGGGATTTTGAATCGTGACAAGTTGGTATTAGAGATCTAGGTACTAAGGGTCTCACAAGTCACTAGCAGGCCTAATAGAGTCTTGTGGATTGGTACATAGACGTCTCTATTTGCGGAAGGCTATAGGGCTTTATGAAACATCCCTTCCTTGATTCCTTGTTGTGCGTTGATTATTGTCTTAAGTCTAAATCATTTTCTTCTATTCACAGATGGTCAGAACGTGCACATCAACATCGACATCAGGTACTAGAGTAGAAGCACAACCGACGGTACCTGGGACTGATGGAGGTCGGGGTAGGGCCAAGTTGGTATTAAATCCACAACCGATTTTGGATCATGGATGAGAACATTGAGGCCCTAGTGCCACCACAGAATCATGGTTTGCTTTATTGATGCCCTGAGTCGGGCTAGAATGGTTCCAATGGCCCCAGCCACATCTTAAGCTAGAGGTGGAGCTCAGATTCCTATCACTTATAACTTAGAGCAGGTAGCGGCGGCAGTTCCGATGCCAAAAGCATTGCTAGTTGGCGATGAGCAGCCTATTGTGGTAGCCAGACTTGTAGTTGAGCCTGCTATGCCGAATGAGGAGAAAAATAGGCTTGATAGGTTTTAGAAGTTACATCCTCCTCATTTTGACGTGGATGCTTTAGAGGATGTTCAGTATTTTCTAGACCGATTTTATTAAATGCTTCACAATTTGGGCTTGGTAGAATCTAATAGTGTAGACTCCACTACCTTTCACATGAGAGGGACTACTAGACGATGGTGGCAAATTTATGAGCTGGGTAGGCCAAATTGTTCATCTCGACTCACTTGGACTTAGTTCTCGCACTTTTATCTAGAGAGGTATATGCCACACACCAAGAGATGAGTTGAGGAGTAAGTTTAAGCACCTTTAGTAAGATCACACGACTGTGACTGATTATAAGATGAGGTTCACAGAATTGTCTCATCATGCCACTTTCTTGATCCCCGTCGAGAACAGAAGCTGAGGCGATTCATTGAGGAATTAACTTATGGTATCTGTATTACTATGGCCCGAGAGTCGGAGATTGGGACTACTTTTTATCAAGCTATGGAGATAGCTTGGAGAATCGAGCCTATCCGTTGTCAGGGGAGAGAGGCTATGATGAGGGATAAGAGGCCTTGTCGTTGTGGTAGTTTCAGTAGCACCTCATTTGGTGGTGGAGGCCAGTTCACTAGACGCCATCATGGTAGGAGATCTCATTTCAAACAGTATGGAGCTAGTGGTGTAGTGATTCGATCCTCTTTCAGCACACCAATTGCATCATATTTTAGTGCTCTCCTAGTTAGTTTACACCATGTTTTGTCTGTTCAGGGTTCTTCTAGTGGATATTCGGAACATCAAGAGCAGATTCAGGTTCAACAGCCTCCATTAGCTAGATGGTTCCTTACGTACGGGCAGTTTAGCCATATAATGAGACACTGCCCTGGACTTTATATAGGCGTAGCTTCGCAGATT